CTTGGGCACGCACGCACACGCGCCCGGCGTGAGTTTTAAGCCACCGGGTCCAGGACACGAACCGCGGTCGACTACGTGGGAATCCAGCGACATAGCCATTACGCTAACTGCTGGTTCCCTTTGGCACAAAAATTTTGAAGTTGTTTTTTAAATACACACATTCCATGAAGTTTTTGAAGACCTTGTGTATTCTCAGGGTTTTGCATTTAACCTCAGGAAGTTAAATGGGAGACACCCACCCAGGGCCCCCTAGTTAGGAGCCTCTGGGATAGATACGCTCTCAGATCAAGATAACAATAAGAGGGGACCAGCAGTTAGCATAATGGCTATGTCGCTGGACTCCCATGTAGCTGACCGCAGTTCAAGTCCCGGACTCGGTGGCATAAAACTCACGCAGGGTGCGTGTGCGTGCCTGCCCAAGATCCCGAGAGGAGAATGGAGGAGAAGGGATTGCGGCATGGCCATCCTCCCTCGGGGGTGATTTCTCGCTTTCTGTCTCTCTGTCTCTCTGTCTCTCTCTGTCTGTCTGGCGAGCGCACACGCCCTATAGCAAAAACCTTTCCAAAAAAAGAAAGATAATAGCAAGAGGGTCCAGACAGTGGTGCAGGGGTAGTATGTGATACTCCGCAAGGCCAACCCTTACGGGGAAGTTCCAGGTACATCTGTAGACCTCCCTGAGCACATACGTGTTAGGCACACACGGGCCCAAGATCTGGGACTGGGTCGTGGCTTTCAGACCTTACTGCAGGTGCTATCTCTCTGGCTTTTTTGTTCATGAAAGAAATAAATAGGTAAACGTTAAGAAAAGATAGTTTGACTAGAAACTCTTATCTGCCTCTCGCTAAGCACCGAGCCCTGATCTAATCACCTCCCAGGCAGTAACTGCTCTCAGGTTCATGGCAGCCCTGCGAGGTAGGGGCCGCTGTTGTCCCCCATTTACAGACCAGAGCACTGAGGGAGACCAGCCTGAGTCCCACAACTGCTTGGAGCTGAGATGTGAAGCCAGGCAGCCCGGCTAAGTCTGTGCCGTGAGTTAGTACCCAGCACCTTGAGTACGGGTGGGCTAGGTTTTGTGAGCATGGATCTGGGGGATTCCAGGTGGATGTGAGCCCAGAGCTGGGGACTGGCTGTCGCAGAGGCAGGACAGGGGGATTGGAACTGAGACCACTGCCTTTGGAGGGTGGGGACAGGCACAGCACAGGGTGAAAGGCAGTTTTTTGAGACAACTACATTTAGAAATGGGAGAAGTCAGGG